ACTTGAAATCCAAGCTGGCGTACATCTTGCTAACTCTAAATGAAAAAGAAACAAAGGCTAGTGATCTGATTTGCAAGTGGGATTTAAGAAGTGCTCTCTTCGTTCTCAGGGATGCAATCCTTTTGGCTAGCACCAAGAAATCCAAAGCGTCGAACGTTCGGTCACCGCTGACCAAAAACGCGCGGAATCTGGGGATGGGATTGGAAATGAGGAGCTTGGACCTTGAGTAACACTTTTAGCCAGAACGCGAGCAAGAGTTATGCGGGCGTTTTCGAAAACTCGATAGATTACACGAAGACCTTTCGATTATCACTGTACACAGTCAGAGAAACGAATGCAAGAGAACTCCAAGGGTGTCATTGCTTTCATAGTACCGATCTTTTTACCTGGTAACAACTTAACACGGAAAATGAAAACATGCAACACCAAAACTCCGGGCTCGATAATTCCCGGAAATGACCTTTTTTCTCCTTGGTGTCTTGACATAATATAATTCTAAGATATCTGTATCATTTTGCAGCTATGCATTCACCAGAGATGTTCTTCGCCATTTGTCCATGCTATTTGCCAGCTTTGCGTATTTTCAAAAGAGTGACTTTGAGGTGGAGATTCTTTATTCTTTCACTATCGAGGACACTGCGAAGCTGATCAGGCAGACAGGAGACAAAGCAAGATCACAATCTACAGTGTGGAATAAGATGGAATGGCCTAAACGAAAATGGCTTACAAACGAACCTAGTGCGGTGAGACAAAAGGGCCGGAGTTTAAACAAAATCTGAAAAGCCGTTGGTCCAAATCCAACGTAAAGGAATAGTTACCAAGTCTAAGCTAAAGGCCGAATAGTTACCATGTGCGAAAAAACACATCTGTGTGTGCGACAAGATATCGATGATGTTCGAAAACCTTAAACCCCGTCGACACTACGCCGGAGGAATTTGAAAACGGAGGTTTCACTCTGAATAGAAAACGCATCAAAATGTTTTCCCTCCACCCTACGACGGAGAAATTTAAAAACACAACAATCACTGTTCTTTTGGATTTGTGTTTTAGGAAGACTCGGTGGGAAAGTCACAGGAGCATCGTGACGCTGTCGTTTTCGAAAAGCTCCGTTTTCAAAATGTTTTCCGTCCACACGTAATCGCAAAGCTGGCGTTTTCAAATTCCTCCGGTTTGAAAAGCGTTTTCGAAAAGCTCCGTTTTCGCGACGGATTAGTGAGGACGGTAAGCCTAACCGTACAAATAAAGCTGCGTTTTCACATTTTTCTGTGTAGTTTGCATGCTGCTTTAAGCAACCTTCAAAAATTTCCGGAAAATATTCGGAAAATATTCCTATTGCCGAAGCTCCGGAAAATCTTCGAAAAATGATCGAAATCTTCGGAAAATCGTTTCCCACCTTCTAGGGGTTAAAATAACTGGAAAAGCCGGAAACTTCAAATCTTTGCGCACTAATCTATTCTTTTTTTACCGTAAGACCAGTTTGTGGGCATAGATTAAATTAGTGTAAACAGAAGCTGTGGCTTGACCCAGCCCCTAAACTGTTACCAATCTCTACAAAAAAACGACTTAGTAAATTTTAGAGTTGTGTTATTGTTAACCAAGTGTTGTTCACTTTCGTTTTCAGCACGAGAAGTTTCTGCTGTCATTTCCATGTATCAACTCATTTAGGTATATATGACTCGCGTATTTTACTAACCTTAATTACTACTAACTATCCACTGAAATAACTGAGCTACCTGCCCTGCGTTCCCACGAGTGAGCACTCGATTCGATAGCACTTCGTCAACTATTTCAGTATTTGCTCGCAGAGAAACTCGGGTTGGTAAATTGTTACATTATCACTAGTGAAAAAATCCGAGTCAGCATACTTTATTGCACTCTGACTATGCCTTTGTAAGTTGCTGACGAGATTTCATAGCAAAGTTCATGCAATCTGATAGGTATTTAGATACGACTCAGTTTTTGGGCCAGGTTAATGGGTCTTAAAAGAGCTACATCACGGTTTACGCATCTTGAAAAGTTTAGCCTAGAATGTTCAAGTTCGTCATTTGTAATCCGTGTTAATTCCATCCTTAACCATCCTTGTTCCGTTATGGCTTATGATTATCTCTTTGGTGTTTTTCTATCTTAGTAAACTACTATTTTCAGGTTTCCTTCAATTTAAAGGTAATTTTGTACGTGGCCAAAATATCTCGAAATACCGTGACCGAGATCCTTTAACCATGCCTGGCGTAGACACGTGACCGGGCGTCTTACGAGATCGTGTTTAATGTGGCCTTGCTGTGGTCTGGTCTTGGTAATGCTGAGGACTTACATTGTAACCTAGTTTTCTTAAAGAGAATTGCTGAAAGCGGCTGAATAAAGTGAGCAAAAATATAAATTTTATACCATTAATCGTTACAATATAAAGATTGTGTGCTCTCAAATAGTCATAATTGCATTGTTTTGTTTTAGTGCTCAAGTAATGCTAACGGCTGCACCACTGGCTGAACTGTT